CGAAAATGGGAGCTCCCTTGGGGAAGTGGATAAAGAGAGAGAAGGCACTGGGGGAAGGGGAAGCGGAAGAGAGGAACAAGGGAAAAAGGAAATGGAAACCCCAAGGCAGGAGGGAGGTGGAGAACCTACGGGATGGAATGGGAACAAAGCCCAGAGGAAGAATTCAGGAAAGAAGGAAGAGAGAAAAACAAATTATGTAGGGACAGGAAGAGGGAAACTGCCTGGATGACTGGAAAAGGGCAATGTTGGGATGGGAGAGATGTCTCACAAAGATGCCAAAAAGGGAACCAGGCTTGCCAGCTGCCCCATGAAGAAGGTGGTGAGGAGAGGAGACAAGACCTGCTATTTGCTCCCAGTCACTCTGGTGAGGATAGCAGACCACCAGCCTTCTCTCTCCCACAGAAGACAACAGTTTGCGGGGGCTGAGGCCTCTTAATGGGGGAGGGTTGTTTGTGTATGAGCAGTTGAGCAGTTTGGTGGGGTTGGATAAGCATCCAAAGTTTAAGTTGCTTCTTGAAAACTCTAGGATTCTCCCATCACTGTTTAATATGTGTATTTTACAATATTGGTTCATGCATTTGCAGCTTGTGTCCTTGTGACAAAACATCATTACATATTGCTGTAAGGTTGCAATGTATGCGGCAAAAAATGTAGCGAATGTGGGATTTTCAATCCAGGAAGAGGATCAGTTCTTTGAAACAGCCTGAAAAACTGTATCAGCTTTGGGGTTCTGATAATTAAATGAATCATACGAGACGCCATCTAAATGTCACCAGAAAGTGTACACTCTAGCTGGCAGCCAGGTGACCTCTACAGCTCTAGGACTGACTTTGGAAAAATCTTTCAAAAACTGAGCAATCCTGCACCTTGCCTCTGGACTACCAGAATGGCAACCAGTTTGAGAACCACAGTGCTTGACTACCAGTCCTGTGAAAATTAAGCAGAATTACATTGGAGTGAAATGAATGTGAAATATGGAAGCCCCACTATGTCCTTCGCTCCTTGTGAATGATTTATATCACTTTGACTTTATAAAAAAAAAAAAAGTACCCGCAATGTAATGTTTGTGAGAGTTGTCCTTCCTTCTAACCCCGAGGGGCCTGAAACTGCCTGAGGCTATGCAGGGCTCTGCCTTCCTTATCTTTTTTGCAATAACCTATTTAATGCACCATTTCCAGACACCATTTGTGAAGCCCTGCTCATGGTAGGCCTGGTCTATATGTCTCTCAGGCATGTGAAAAATCCAACCCCCCAGAGATCTAGCTATACTGATCTAACCCTTGGTATAGATCAGCACGAGGTCGATGGAAGAATTCTATAGTAATTATATAGTTGGTATAGCTGAGTGGGTGTGTGTGTGGGGGGGGGCAGGCTTTGTCTCATCCATGAGAGATGTAGCCATACGAAAGTAAATTCCTATTTTAGACCAGGCCTTACTGTGCACTTATTCGTGTGAGTAAGGGTTTCACAGCTGGTTCCGCAGGGACCCTTGCTCTGTGCTCCTGCAGAGGGTGGCTGTGGTGAAGCTGGCCAGCACAGCAGTTGGGGCAGAGTGGGAAGTAAACTGCACAAGGAAAAAGTCGGGCACAGCTTGCTTTCCCCCATAAAACAAGGAAGAAGCAGGAACTGCCTAGTGACACTGAGGCAGCACAACTAGGCACTGCTTCAGCAGGCTACCCAGTGTAGCAGTGGCTACTCCATAGACTGTGCTGTGTTGTTCAAGGCCTGTTCACCCTATTTACTTATTGCTAGGCTTACAGAGGCTGTAGCAGGAAAAGTTGGGGGGTATTTGGGTGAAGATGTGTGTCAAGGCCAAAGCAGAAACACCGCTCAACTTTGGGTGAGAGGATGCAAATAAATAGCATTGTAATGTAACTTGTACAAGGAGAAATGCTTGAGTTGTTTTTACATTGGTTTTGTGTTGCAACAGTCACATCCTGAGGTCTTTATTTCTCCTCAGTTTCAGCAGAGTAATCACATCTGTATGATTGGTTTTGTGCTACAGTGTAGTGCAGGAAATTGCTGCCTCCGGAATATTTTCAGTCTCATTAGACTATTTAGCACAAATTAAATATAACTCAAAATAGCCTGAGCTACTTAGTGATACATTCACATCTAAACATTAAAATAAAACTCAAGTTTACATATATATTTAAGACTTGTTCAGTGTACAAGTATATTAATATTTTTATAGTAATATTAGCCTGTCTTGTGGTAATTTTATTTTTAAGAAGCTGTTGTTCCTCGGGAGACGGTAACAGCATTTCAGTAAATGGAAACAATCCAATGTTACAATCCCTTAAGTTTACAGTCTTTCCTTTTTGTTTTACCATATAGGGTTGCAACTTGTTTTGAAATTGCCATGATGTCAGGGTTTCATTCTGAAGTTCATCAAAACATGGACAGTTAGAAGAAGGAAAGTGCAGAATCTGAAATAAAAAAAAGTTAAACTTGTCATGTGGTCAGACACTTTGAATGGGATCCACACAGGAACTTAGGTGTTGCAAAGTTGGGCATCACAGCGCCTAACTTTTAGGTGCCTAGGAAATAACAGGAACAACACTGGGATCCACAAAGCCTAAGAAAGGGGTCTAAGCTCCCTATCCAATGAAGGGGAGAGGTAGGCTCCTTAGACTGTGATCCACAAAAGCCAGCATGGCTAGGTGGGGAGCTGCCCAAGCTAGCCAATGGCAGTTGCTGATGACAGGGATGTGTGCTAAACACTGGCCGTCTCTCTCAGAGTTAGGTACCTAAGTCCAGGCTGAAGGGAGGCGCGTATCTTTGCTTAGCAATCCATGAATAGGAATCAACCACATGGAGTCAGACAGCTGAAGTACTTAAGCTACTTCTTGAGACATTGAGTTAAGCGCCTGCCTTGCTCCACACACAACAGCCAGAGGAGGGGGTGCCCACCTTATAGCTTTTTGTCCAGTGGTTAGAGCACTCACCTGGGATCTGTGAGATCCAGGTGCAACTTCCCCCTCTCTGCCAGAGAGGGAGAAAAGATATGATCTGGGGTCTCCACCCTCTCAGGCACATTGTCCAAACCCTGAGCTATGGGATATTCTGATTTAGGGCTTCTTCAGTCTCTCCTGTGGAAGCTGTTGCTAAATAACTATGGCTAAATAATGAAAGAGTGATTGGAGCATGGAGACTGGACCTGGAGTTTCTCACCTCCTAGGTGGTGCCCTAACCACTGACCTACAGCATCTCTCTCTCTCTCTCTCTTGCCCAGTGAGTGTTCCATTGTGGATAAGTACTTAAACAGTCTGGGGTTTAGGCACCTAAATACCTTGGTGGATCTGGATCATTGTGACTATCTATTTAACCCAACGTAGCTTAGCTAACCGTTGTGGATCAGATTCATGGACATGCTGCAGCTGCTTTGTGCCAATCCATTGGTGCAAGTTGTTCATATACTTGGTGAATTTGGGCAGTGGAAGATTTTGCTGGCATGTCAAGGAAGCTGTTAATCTAGCTGATCCCTTCTGTCAGAATGACCCTCTTAAGCCGCTGTGTATATCTTAGAACTGCTCTGAGAACTGGCCCATTTCCCAGGATCCAGTGTGTAAAGGCGGTTGAAACTACTTTTTCCCCACTTCTCAACTCCTGAGTCACACCAAATACAGCCCAGCACTGGAACCTGCATATTAGACTGCTGAAAGTTTGATTTCTTTGTCCAAATCCTGCTCTCAGATTCGTGTGTAAAATATGGCATTGTTTCAGTGGAACCACAATAACATGGTACCTGTTTTGCCGTTAAGTATTCTTGGGAATAAACAAGAGACAGAAGTGAATTGTGCTCCTAAATATTGAAAGGGTGCCTATGTAATAGCTTCATTACTGCTTAATTCACCATGTGTGAAATTCATCCTTATTCAGAGAATCTGCCATGTATCACTTAACTCCTGCTTAAGCCCAGCTTTGATGGCTTAAGAGGGACTTCAGTGTTGCATGTCTTGTATTGGCCTTCTCTGACCTAATGTGAATTTCACTCTGGGTAAATTGGGCAGAATGCACCTCCAGTGCTTCCCCCTGTAATGGTCCTTCCTCACTGAAGTGTCAATACAGAGGCTGGAGCAGATGCTAGCAGAAAGGAGTTAACATTTTAAATTGGAAATATTGCATAACCTCCGGAGTGCGTGTTCTTCTGCAATAGCGGCACACCTTGGAGGTTCAAGGCTACGTTGGGAGGCTTTGGAATTGCACAATAACAAACACTCCTTTTGCTTAATTACTACCCTTTGGGTGTTATTACTTAAGCCATTCCCTTTGGTTTCATTAAGTAGTACACAGTGCTGCTAAATGTCAGTTCTTAATGGATCACAATAGGCCAAGAAAATTATCTGTGACCAGGTTTATTACTATATGATACTTTGCCTTGATTTCCCAGTCTGTGTTGTTTGGGGCTTGAAAATACCCAGAGACATTTAGACATGGAAGGCTCGGGAAGACAGAGTCCCTGGCTTACAGGTGGTTGGCCTATTCAGCAGAAACTTCAAGTTGCTCCAGGAAGTCATTGTAATTAAACTTTAATTCCCACACCTGGGAAAGTTGCAGACCTGACAGGAAGAAGAGCACTCATGCAAATGCCCTTGTCTCCTCCCACAGCTCCCTTTCCCTTTAAAGTAGTGACTCAGAGAGTTTGGAGGTTTGTTTTGGATAAACATCTGACAGGTCTGATGCTTATCAAAACCTCTTTCAAGCCCTTCCCACCTGCAAACCTCCCTTCCTCTTGCTTAATTGGAGGACAAAGTGAAGGTTCAAGCTGGGTCACATTGTGTCTGGTCCAGTTTCCTTGAAGCACATCTCACTTTCACACATGGCTTTAGAATGGAGTAGTGCTCATGAACATCTCTGGAGTAGACAGGCAGGGTGGTCTCATGACAGTGGCCCATCCGCTGATGACCTTGATGACATGGTGTGTGGTGGTTTTATTGTTTCTTGTTTCTATTTCCTCAAAATACTGTAGGTAGCACGAGGAATGAAGCCCTTTCTGTCCCTGCTTTCCACAGCTTTTGTTCTTGTTAAATCTTTGGCCTGCACAGTGCCTCGTTGCAGCAGCCCACCCTGGCTGATAGATCTGTACCTGAGTCAGCCAGGAAGAGTTGTTTATGCCATAGCTTCTACCTGCCCTGTCATTTGTTAGATACATTCACTTGGGCTGTATGCTTCTCAGGGTTGGGTCTGTCTTTCAATTATGTGTTTATACAGCACCTAGCACAATGGGGCTCCAATCTATAACTGAAGCACCTGGGTGCTACTGCAATATAAATTAGTAATAACCACAGAGAGATCGTTTCAGTTTTGATGTAAACGTCTCTCCTTGGCTGACCACAGGAGCAAACCTGTCAGGCAGGGAAGAGTACAAAGCACATTTAAACTTGAAACCACCTTAAAGGTCTGTCTGTCTGTCTGAAAGAAAGAACCTGCCCCCATGAAAAGATTTTAGTGGAACTTCCTCAGCTTCATTCCTGACAGGATAACATCAGAGCTTCCCTGTGGAGGAGATGGTGATGAGGAATGCATGTCAGCTGTTCAGCCCCTGTAGACTTTCATTCAACAGTTATGGTTGGGCCTGCATGACTGCATGTATTTATAGTAGGGTTACCATATTGGAGCCCCTGAAAAAGAGGACACTTCAAGGGGCCCCGGCCCCGCCCCAACTCCGCCCCTTCCCTGCCCCGGCCCTGCCCCAAACTCCGCCCCTTCCCTGCCCCACCCCAACTCCGCTCCTTCCCCAATGTCCCTGCCCCAACTCCGCCCCCTCCCCTGAATGCTCCGCCCCCTGCTCCTCCCCCTCCCATGCTTCCCGCGAATCAAATGTTCGCGGAAAGCCTG